AATATTAAGTGCGATTATGTACCCCGTGTTGCATATATTTATCCAGAAAGAAATGGTAAGTGGTCTGAAATTTCGTATATTTTAGAATTTTCTTCCATATTGATTATTTGTCGTCAGTTTAATGTAGAAGGCATGGCAGTACGCACACTACACTAAAACGAATATCAAGAAGATATTGGAATTGTTTCAGTTAGTTTCTTTTTTGAGTGGAAATTTCAGATGAACATTTGGATGGAGGCTACAGCTCACAGACCGACTGTCCAGATTTATTTATCCCAGATTTCACGCGAGCTAGGACTTTCATCGAAAGTGATCGCTGGCCCGGCGACGAAGAATTTACATTGACTCTTACGGATGAATCGGGCAAAAGGTTGGCTTTTGCTCAAAACATGCTGCGAGATATTTAATTCCTATTTTCAGATAATATTTTACGAAACGAAAGATTTCTCGTGTTAAGCTTTAATTTTTCCTGTATAAGCTGTCTGATGACATACTTGCAAATTTAACTCATATTTTCAAATCTTTAAAATATTTGTCTCTTTGCTTCTATATCTGTTCCAGTTTGATTACATTTGATGAGAGATCCCATGCTTATCAGTCAGTACATTTAATGCTCTACTTGCTATTTATTATTCATTTCATGCTCTACCTTTAAATTATTGAAATTTGTAAAACTCTTTGCACTGTTTTGTCTACGTTCCATTAAATAGAATAATGATGTTTGTTTACTTCCTAACCCTTACATGTAGAGCGTTATTCTTTTGTTTGTTTTATGAAGATTTTTTCTTCGGACTTTTTGCATTATCTCAGCGTTAGCAATATTTAGGAGAAATGAACAGCTGTTGAAATTCCAGATTAAATTTCACAGAGTGTTCGTTTCATAACAAGCATGATCGATTGTGCCTCTTTTATGAAATATATATCATACACTACTACTACGTTTCGCGGATATTCCAGATTTTTATTTCATGCGGAGAGCATTGTGATAAAGAAAATTCTGTCTTCCAACAAATTCTAGTAAAATAGTAATCAATTCAAAAATATAAATTGTAATTGACAAATCTGGGATATTTTGAAATATTTCAGTGCTTATTTGATTATTTGTGGGATTTCGTTTAAACCTGAATGATAGGCAATCATTATCAGAGAAAAACAAGAGAGAGTGTGATTGAAAAGGGTGAGATAGAAAAAAAGAAATGGAGAAAAGAATGAGAAGAGATGCCTGATAGCATTGGAAGTGCCATTTAATTAAGATGACGGCAATGTCTGAAGGAAGCTTCAATCAACAATCTTTCAATTCCAACAGGGTAGTTTCTCACTTGTTTGTTGTAAGTTTCCTGGAATTTAACAAATTTTGAGATTATTGAAAAGAAACATTTTTGATTGGTACTTCTTTCGTTTCCTATCGTAACATCCAACCAAAAATATTCTTTGTTCAGAACGATACGTACATCGTCATGTCACGCTTCACAATAATATTCATTACCCTGCAACTCAATAAGCTTAGCATTCTTGTTAAAGCTTCAGTCTAGAAAATACTTTATATGAATATTATTCGAAGTATCAGTTGGTCGCCTCTGCGCACTCTGTCTATATATATATAATAATATATCATCACTATCAAATTCCAGTGCAAACATTTTTTTTTGATGTGACATCGCGAAGAGAAAGTTATGGATGTTCCCTAAAAAGAAAACTGCAAGTATTGTCCATCGGCTGAAATGTATTTTAGGGCATGTGAAATGATGTTTCAAGGCGTCAATATTTTCGAAGCAGATTGTCGAGGGAGACAACATTTCGTCGTAAACTACATCCATCCAATCCTTCCTTCACAGCTACCTCATTTTCACTCTCAGTATATCGGCACTCCATCTTACTTTCCTATCAGAAGCGACTTTTTCGGTGTTTTCGTTATTGCATACTATTTCCCGTCTTCCCTCTTTTATGATCAATTTTTAAAGGATGATTGCTTTATCATTTAAAAATTTTTAAATACATTATTTTTGCTACCTTGCAAGAAAATCCTGTTTTAGGTTTTTCAGTTGTTTAAGGAAAGTATTTGTCTTCGTGAAAAGATAAAAAGTTGTTAGAAATATAGTTTCATGAATATCTGGCAGATAAATATATTGTAATTGGATGTTATATCGGTTCTTCAGGTTAATTTTTGCTTTTGTTTCATATTTTAAGCTGAATTAATTTATTTCGCCTAATCTATTACTTTCCATCTTTCCTGCTTCATCCACCATTTAATTTTTCATCAATGCTTAAATGAAATGAAATGATCTTGAATCACTTGAATTCCTTTCACACCTTTGGAAAAAATTTTGCTTGGGTGTTTTTTACATAGCAGTCATTCGCTTGCCATTGTTTTCTTATTTTAAAAAATGAAAAATTTATATCCTAACAAATTTGAGTGTCACGTTCAATTAAAAAAAACTCTGTTGGCCACAGTAATGGAGAGGGAATGATAGAAGATCTACCTTCTGTGCTTTGCAATAATCTCTCATAACCGATTATCTGGCTGTGTAACAAACCTACTTTAATCGCCTACTTTTCTCACTCTGTCCTCCAATCTATTAAATGCCAGTTTGCAGAGAACATCATCTCGTTGTAATGTTTGTGCGATGTTAAATTAATCATTTCTTTTCCTTTCCTTCTTCTCTTCCTTAACATACGAGCATTAAAATGCTAACAGTTATGCTAAAAATAATTGTAAAAGTTGGAATCTTTTGCGTTGAGCGTTAAATGATAGCAAATGATAGAAATGCTTCCATCGATCTTTTCATCTTCTCCATACACGGAAAGAGGATGTGTATAATTAAAATTGTACGTTTCGAATGAGATCAGAATATATGAGTGGAGTGAAGTTTAGAAGTCTAATTTCCCAACAGACGTTATTGATGGATTTAACAAAATTTACAAAAAATATTAATGTTGGTAATATTATAATGAATAATAACTCTGCCTTTATTCAACCTCTCTTTATTGTTTCTTCTTTCGAATTTCTTCTCATATTCCACCTTATCATTAAGATGTTCATTAGAAGCAAGATAAAATGCATTATCTCCACTCTGTTCAACAAAACAGTAAAGACGAACACTGCCATAAATAATATACGTTCTTCATTCTCGTTTTCTTTTATTTATTAAAATAATCTCATAATTTACCTCACAAATTTTGGGCTACTCATTAACCTTTTTTGAACAGCAACAAATTTTACATCCTGCATGACATTTTGTTATATTTATAAATTTAATTTCTTCAATTTTTTAAAGTGTTTGCTAAGTCCAATTTACTACTTTCCTCTAATTTCTTCATTGTCATACTTCTATCGATAAGGTTTCATTCAAGCTTAACAAAATTTGTGCATACTTTACATATCTGATTAAATCATCTATTAGTATTTGCATATAATAATGTCAAAGTTAAAAAAGGGTGCGAATTTAAAGAGTTGAATAATAATTTATCGCTGAAACAGATAATTTACAGATGAATCTATAGGTGAAAATAGTATAAAGCAAGATGTGGCGGCAATGTTGATTTGGATACTACTGATTAATGGGTGTTTATGCGCAATTGTTAATTGTGTGGATTTGCATATTGGAGGCGTTTTTCCGATGGAAGCAGGTTCGGGTGGTTGGGCAGGTGGTGAAGCATGTCTACCAGCTGTCCAGATCGCCCTTCAGGATGTGAATGCCAATACCAATATTTTACCGGGTTATATGTTGAAGTTGCATTATCATAATAGTAAGGTACATTTCCAGAAATTTTCTTACCTTACTTCTTAATTATCACTTTTTCTAAAAGCTTTATTGAATTGGAATCCCACTGATGAACACCACTGTCGAAAATTTAAAATATTTATTTTCATTTTTCATCTTTATGGACCAACAAAGTAAAATTTTGTTGCGTGGTGTATTATAACTAAATTGTAACAATTAGGAGAGTAATTCAGTATATAGTATTAAGTTTCTTTGTAATATGAATCTTCCATTTAGTGCCAACCGGGTTTAGCAGCAAAGCAAATGTACGAATTGTTATATAAGGCTCCGACAAAGTTGATGTTACTAGCTGGTTGTAGCCCGGTGACAACTGTTTTTGCAGAAGCGGCTCCAGTCTGGAATCTCGTTGTGGTAAATATTCTTGTTCTTATAGATTTCTTCTTTTTTTTATTTGATTTGTTGTAAATAATTCTACATTTTGGTTGAACTTCTGTGGTCCATCCTTTTTTTTAGCTTTCTTATGGTGGCAGTTCTCCAGCGCTCTCCAACAGGCATCGCTTTCCTACACTTTTTAGAACTCATCCCACTGCAAATATGCAAAATCCAACAAGGTTTTAAGTTTTTTTTTTTCATTCTACAATAATTACTCTTATGCATGAGTTTAGTTTTATAATTTTTTAGATGTATATTTATTTAAGGTTCCATATGATATAAGCATCGACATTGTGCACATTTTTTACAGGCTAAAACTCTTTCAAAAATTTAAGTGGAAGAAAATAACGATTTTGCAATCAGTTGAAGAAGTATTCACGTCAACAGCTAAGGATCTTGAAGAGGAATGCAGGGAGAAGGGTATTCGAGTTGAACGGCAAAGCTTTTATGGTGATCCATCTGATGCTGTAAAAACATTGGTACGCCAGGATGCTCGGATTATTGTTGGTCTCTTTTACGTTACTGAGGCTCGTCGTGTACTTTGTCAGGTAAGCTTTTGATCTCAAAATTTCGAAACTTACGCAAACGATTTTAAAAAATGTAAATATGTTTTGAAAAATCATATTTGGAAGATTGTTATGAACCTTCAAGATAACAACACTTTTTATAGGCCTATAAACATGATCTCTATGGTAGAAAATATGTATGGTTTTTCATTGGTTGGTATGCTGATACGTGGTTCATTCCACCAACTGATGAGCCACTTAATTGCACTGCTGAACAAGTTAGTTTGTTGGTTTTTTGTTTACTTGTTTTCAACAATGGAAAAGTAAAAATTTCTATTGCACCATAGAAAAATCGAAAACTTGTATATTTTACATTATACTTGACTAATGACTAATAAAGAAGTCCCTTTAGATGATCAAAGCAGCACAATATCACATTACAACGGAAAGTATAATGTTAAGTAGAGACGAAGAACTGACAATTTCTGGAATGACTGGTAAGCAGTTCCAGAAACGACTAAAGAGTATGCTGAGTACTGATCCAGCTGAAACTGGTGGTTTTCCAGAAGCTCCTCTAGCCTATGACGCTGTATGGTAATTACTTTTCCATGTTGTTGAAAAATTTTAAAAATATACAATTCCGGCTTTATGGACTTTACGGAACTTTCCATCATAAAGTCTAAATTCCGTACATTGTAGTAATCAGAGTATGGTAATTGCCGGGCGGTGTTAAAACGTGCCCGGGTAGATATCCTGAAATACGCTATAGCATGATGTCCACAAAGAGACTAGCAGCACGAATTTTTTTTGAAATAACATATGTAACTATCTATGATTTACTGTGGAGGGATAGCTGTCTTTGATTTTTCTTTAAATTTAGTTCCATTTTCAACCATTTTCATATGAAGTTTTTAATGGGTTATGATTATTTCTGCCGGATATTAACTAATTTGCACAAAGCATTATTTGGCAAAAATAATTCGAAGCTATTCTTTTTCCAAGAGTATTACAAAACTCTCCTGCATACTTTTTTTCGGATTTTTAGGACTTATATGTTAATAAAAACTTAAATTTCAAGCATCCTGAGATTTTCAAGTTTGCCTAGAAGAAAGGATGACATGTTTTAGATTGTGAAAGTCGATCCTTATTTTCTCGCTTTTAGATTGAGGCTAGATCAGTTAACTTGATCCGAATAGTGAATTCTATCCCCAAAACTATGACTGTCGAAATACAACATATTGAAATGTGGAATAGAGCCAAACACTTTAAACTACATTAGCTACCATTAATTAGTCCGTACTGTGAGGCAATTATTTGCTAAAAATTTGTTTGCAGGGCAGTTGCACTGGCTTTCAATTGCACATTATCAAAACTTCAAGCAGGACAAAGTCTTGAGAATTTCACTTATAACAATACAAGCATTGCAGAAAAATTATTCAGTTGCGTTAAAGGCACACAATTTCGGGGTGTTTCAGTAAGTTCTTATTCTTTTCGTACTTTTAATAGCAAAGTTGCATCAACAGAGCTATCAGCTTATTCCTATACACCTTCAGGGCCAGGTTATGTTTAACGATCTTGGCGACCGCATCGCACGAACACAGATCGAACAGCTGCAAGGTTGATATAGAAAGATTTTTCTTATTTCAATTCAATAAGCAATTAATTAGATTTCAATTATCTCAATGTTGTTGAAAAAAAAACTAATGAGGAAAAATCAGTTCAGTAAGAACGCAATAAATATTCATATAGATGGGAAATATCAAATGCTGGGTATTTACGATACAACGACACTTCATCTGGACTGGTATGGTAAGGAAAAATTTTCAACAGTGAATGGATTACCTCCTCCAGATTCGACTCTTATACAAGAATGGCTTCTTACTGTTGATTTAGAGGTTATGTTTTTGTTGAATAATTGGTCACTTCAGTTTTTTCAATGTAATTATATAGTTAAATTTCAATTATAAAATATAGTGGAGAATTGATTGGCTACCATTTCAGTTATATTATGCAATTGCGTTACTGGCAGTAATCGGAATCTTTGTTGCATGTATCATATTCATATTTAACGTCAGGAACTCTGATAGGATGTCAGTTTTTGTCAATTCCATTATTGAACTTTGCCGTTGCATCCAGCGATTGCTTTTCTAGTTTCTTTCTTGAAAAGAAGTGACTGACAAAAAAACTATAAGAATTTAAAATAAAAATCACTCATTTATCATTTATCATAGTTATAACACATTGAATATTTCAATCTCCGAATTCCCTAAACCCACTGCAAATATTCTTTTATTTCAAACTCGTATGCAACCAGTGTTTCAGTTTAAATATTTGAGAGAATTCCTTCTTATTCCTGAAGTTTAAAATATAAATTTTTGCAGTGCCTTGTGAAGAACTGTACTGCCTTTTAGAAATATTTTTTGTAAAAACTGACCTTGACATTCTTTTATTATAATCTCATGTGAACATGACTTGCACGAGTAAAAATTTCACTGTGCAGAAAAAAGTATTCTGCCTTTTCATCCCGTTCGCATTTGCATATCAGCAAAAAAAGGATTGAACAATTTGATAACGTCATGAAATTAACGTTGCATTATGAAAAAAATATTGTGTTATTCCAAAATTAGGTTCAGCTGATAATAACCACCGCTTGTGAGTTACATCATTCATAAGTAATGTTTATGGGTGTGACAGCTGCGATTTTATGATTTCATAAAAAGAAAAAATTCCAGTGACTTGTGTTCAGGATAATAATGGAATCTCAACCGCAGTGTAACAATGTACTTCTAGCTGGGTGTATACTTTGCTGCCTGAGCCTCTTATTATTGGGCCTACCAGCACGTGGAATCACTATCCCAAAGCATTCATTTACACTATTTTGTCATGTTAGTTTAAATTTAAGGAAAATTAAAGTGACATTAAGACTGAAATTCTATTTTTGTTTTTTATTCAATTAAATTTTTTTCAATTTTTAGTCGCAAATATCACTTTTAATGGTTGGTTTCACATTTGCTTATGGGTCGATGTTTGCCAAAGTCTGGGTTGTTCATCGGTTAGGCGCAGCAGAGAATCAGCATCTTATTTCCAGGACAACTACTGGCCAGGTAGTACAACTCAAGAATTTCAAAAACCGAATAAAGCATTGCATCTGAAAGGATACCATAAATTGTTTCCACAATATTTCATTATTTTTGTAATTTCCATCTTTGTGATATGGTTCAAAACCACGACAAATTTGCTATTCTGTGTTTTGCAGCCAGTACCTGCATGCAAATTCTACCTCGTGGTTATTACGTTTTTTGTGATTGATGTAATCATAATAACTTGTTGGTTTACACTTGACCCAATCCAAAGGGTTGAGAAACGGTTTCCATTACAAGTAAGTACGACAATGAATGTCTTTTAAGGGTCATGTATTTTATAGGAAGTTTTCTTTCAGCTCCAGAAAAATTCTGACAAAAAATGACTCATGACGGAATCAAAAACTAAGTTCAGCAATTATAAAATTTACTTATCTGTAAAAATTTAATCTTTTACATGTTTGACCCTTTGTTCTATTCCGCACTTTGTCGGTTTTTGCAGGAACCACCTATGGGAACTGAAGAAGACATTATGCTTCTACCAATCCTTGAACTCTGTCAAAGTAAACGACAAGAAATGTGGACAGGTATTCTATTTTTTGAAAACTTTGTTAATTTTCCATATATTAGATTAAAATTGTGTGAAACAATGCAGAGATTTTGAATTTTTAGTAAGATTACTTCCTGATAAATTTAAATGTTTTTTAAGTAAAAAAGTATTTCCGAAAAATATAATTCAATAACGTCCCATATGAGAAAAAATGTCGAGGAGCGTTAGAGAACAATTATATTGTTATATCTTGTGATGAGAAGCATTTTTTAAATTTCTCTTTGACATTTCCATGAATTCATGTTTCGATACTTACATGATTTTTATCGTTACAAATATGAATTAATCGTACTGTTTTCAGAAAATCAGATAATGGTGCTACAACTAATTACTAATTGCAGTTACTAATTAAAATGTTTTCGGGATTAGGTTTTTAGACATGAAGGAATTGTCATCATTACAGGTTTGGTAATGGGCTATAAATGCTTACTGTTGATACTTGGTCTTTTCCTTGCATATGAAACGCGTAATTTAAAACCTCTTTTTGTGAACGATTTACGCTTCGTTGGTTTGGCTATATATAACGTTGCCGTATTATCTCTAATAACTGGACCAATTGTCACTTTCCTTATTCGATCTCAGTCCGATGCCAATTTTGCATTTACCAGCATTACTGGTTTCTTTTCTTTTTGGTTCTATCGAAACTTTGTTTTTCTTGTTCAAAAACTGAATTTGAAAACTGAAATATTTAGTACATCTCATATTGATGAGTAAACATCGGTGGGCAAATTAGTGGGGAAAATAAGAAAAAAGGTTTGAAGGCACCATTATTGTTATGTCTATTATAAGATGTATAACGTAGAAATATTGAACATTTAATTGTGATGTGGTAGAGAAATCACTCCATTTTATCATCTTTTAAAATATTTTTAAAATCCTTCGAATTTAGATTTTAGTATTTTTAAAATCCTTCGAATTTAGATTTTAGCAAATTTTTGAAATCTTAAAAATGGCGATTAGAGGAAAAGAAGTATTGATTATTGTCATAGTTTCAGTTTTGTTGAGTACATATATAACGCTTGGTCTAATATTTTTGCCAAAAATTGTTCATATACGTCGAACACCTAAAAGTGGTGAGAAAAATGATGGTAGTAAACCACTGTATCATCCAGATGTTGCCGGAATAGAGCATAAACGATGTCAACAACTTGTTCATGAGAATGCTGATCTGAAGTGTCAAATAGAGCATGTTGGTTTCATTTAAAAAATTTTCTTTTTGAAATGAAGATATTACTTTTAAATCTTTGCTTCTAATATTTCCACAGTATTCATTATTTGATTATAAACAATTCAGACTTTTATTTGAAGAAATCTTACCAAAATTTATATTCCAGAAGGAAAAAAAAATCGCGGATTATCGGCGACGTTTGGGGAAACATATTCAAGAAACCACTGGTATTCCACTTCGTGAAAATATATGTGGCAGCACTAGCGATGAAAATATAACACATTCATTTCCAACTGCGCTAACAACAACTGCCTTGATCGAAAATTTGCCGAGCGAATATACGGGTAATTTTTCGCGTCAGTAAGAACAGAAAAATTTGCGGTTAACGAGATTTTCTTGGTCGAAAGAAGCTGCCCAGGACTTTAGCTCTAGTTGTTACTTCTTGAGACCAGTGGAAAGGCAATCCCGATAATTTCTGTGAAGCCATTGTAATTCTTTCTCATTTAATCTGCTGTAGAATAGCTCAATTTCTCCTTTTCAATATTCGATTCCCTTGGCCATCTATATTTACTTATTCTTCGGTACCAAGAGATCACAATGCTTGGCATACACTTGTTAGATAGGGATAGTTTTATAATACCTTCTAATGTCTTAAATGAGCCGGTGCTTTGAAGCGTAAGTTAATGAAAAAAAAGAAGATTGTTATATAAAATTTTATGAATCATATGTTGGTACTTTGAAGCTGATTGGAAGATTCTCCTGAAACTATTTCCTTTTTTTTCCGGAACTCGACTTCGAAAAAATTGCATTTGGGTTTTCAATTTATAGATAAATACAACAGTAATTATGAAGAGGTGGATAACGAAGATACGTCGTCAACGTTCAGCGAATTATTTTTGTAATGATTCATTCTTATCTGATAAAATTCAAAAAATTGTCTCACAACGTTCCCACAGCATTCCCGAGTTCTTTCATCAGTGGAGCTGTTTTTTACCATTCAGCGCTCGGAGAAGCTACAACACAATTTTAAACCTCGACAGGCATCACCCACCACCAGACAAAATAAAAATCGATGAAATTGTGAGCTGATCTATCGCCACTTAATAGCTCTGCGTAAAATGGAATATCTAACATTCCAAATTCTTCGTAGGACCGCATCACCCTTCGGTATCTTTTTGCCAGAAACAGAGAGCTTAATTTCTGATGACATTAAGAACTACCCAGAAAGTCTCGTAATCTTATTCCTTTTAACTGTGATGAAAAGTTGCAACAAAGTGGCGTTTTAAAAAATGTTTTATGACTTTAAATGAGGATTTGAACAACATAGTGAATGAGCCAGTGAATTATGCACAAACCAAATTCAAACAAAGCGAATGCGATATTGTAATAATACATCAATTCAGTAGAGTGTACGAGAAAAAATACCATGAAAATAATGTTTGGTCATCTTAACATAAAAAAATTACTGAAAAAATGAAGTTACCTCAAATTACATTAGAAAAAACTTATTTTCTAGTGTAAAGCATTCCTTCCACCAACATAACATTACTTAGCAAACGGTATTCGGATAGTGTGCACGTTTAAGTCATTCTCTAAACCAACGACTGAAGATATTACTTTCCTCAGTATCACCCCATTTATCTCTTATAGGACAGCTTATATTATTAGCTTATATCATTAATCATGACCACCGATCTTGTTCCGAACAGAAGTGACTGCGACAGTTCAGCAGTGCATCTCCAATTTAGATTGGTTTAAAACTCTAAATTTCCAAACTCCATGTTCTCAGTTTTGGTTGCGAATACATTTTAAATAATTTCCATCATTCAAAGCTGAGGAAGAGGATCAGAATGTATCGTAATATGGTCTAAACGACAATAAAAATGAACAGAGGGATAAAAAAGCTCAAAAACAATATGAAAATGAACGGTTATTTACCAACCATGTATACAAAGCGCAGTGCAACAGCTGGTCGGTTTGCAAATACATATAGATTTTTAAATAATAGAAAAGCATAATTTCGAAATATTTTTGAATTTATAGACAGGGTGACATAAATACCGATTTATAACGCCCGAAGTACTACTTGTTCACAGCACTTTTATTGGTTTGCACAATTCGCTCTTTTGTAAAATATTTAAGGTAAATATCATAAAGTGTTACGCAGCGTCATGTTATTCAATCCACTTGGCGATTCCAAACAGCACCTCCCTGAAAATACTACGCGAATCGTTACATTTTGACTGAGATATTAACTTAAGTAATAACTTTAAAAAAACATAGATCACATTTAACAGTTAATTTGAACATTAAAATACCAGACTTCCAAAACATGTATCTAATAACATTTTCCTAGTTTAGAAGTTAATATATCGGCACCTAATAAATCTAGGAAGATAAAGTTCTATATCTTACCCATTTTATTTAATTTTTTACAAATAATTATACTAAAATAAGTGAATAAAAGATGAGGAAAAATTGCAAATAATATATCGGCAATCAATATGCATATATAATCTTCATCAAGTGGATAATTATTTATGAAACTAAATTCTGAATGCTTCCAAAATAATGCAGCACTGATAATTCACACAGCACAATCCTACTGGAAAATGAGCCCTTCTTTCCTTTCAGAAAGGAAAAATTTAACACTACTTCTTCAAAGTAAATGCTTCAAAGAAAAAATGCCTTTCGACTTTTCGTCAAAATTGAATGAATTAATCAAAACCCTTTTTATACGGAAGGAATCCAAATCATAAGGGCAGTGCATTCTTTCTTGTTTATCCTTTTATTAAAGAAAAAAGTCACCGCGTGGTTGCTCTGTATCTTTGACCAGTAAAATTTTAAAAGCAAAGAACGTTCAACCGCTCCAACATACTTCATCAACAAAACTTCAAGCTAAGGAAACTATCCCAAATCAATAAATGCAGATAAAGCGCTTTGAAATAATAATGAAAAATAAGTGTTTCCTAGCATGAAGGGCATATAACGAAACGAGCTACAAAGCAAAAATGTCTCCCGTTTAAAGGTTTCAAAAAAAACTGGTGATTCGATAAATGTTGAAATGTTATTACTAAAAATAACAACAAAAATAAGCTTCCTCACATAACAAATGAATTTCCAGCCGTGAAAGGAGTACCTAAAAAATCATTTATAAAAATAAGCTTGGATAAATAATGATTGGGTAAAATTCTCCGTTGCCAACCAAACGAAAGCAAGCCATTAGAATTATATATGTATTTAACAGTATTAAGTAGTCACCTATTACGGTTTGCTGCAAGAAAGTGCTGAGCGGAATAAGCGCTATCAAGGTAAATCTCAGTTGTACCTGACGATACATTCATCTGCTATCTAATATCGCTTGCTTAACACCATAAAGGCTTTTCAAATGCACCTTCAAATGCGAAATTCACTGGCGGCAACACAAAAATATATAGAAAATATTCCTAAAGAGCGTAGATGGCATCCTGTTTTTCTGTAAAAAACCAATCCACCAATGGCAAAGAAATCTTCCATCCAGTCATATGAAAAATGTTTTGTGGAATATATTTCAGATAAAGGCATAAATGAATTCAAATGAATATAATATCAAATTATTTCGCGCAACCACATGTTGTGCTACATTTTATAATAGCTCAAGTGATATTTGATTCTCGTTGCAAGAAATATGCATAAAAATAGAACTCTAAAGCGGCATAAAAACTACTCCGACATCAGTGACTGTTTCGCAAAAACAAAATTCAATATTAAATAACCTGCATATATGTCCATCTTAGAGTTATATATCTTCCTGTAAATGCCAAACAATACAACAACAACACTGTGTAGTGCTTTATATTAAATTAAGTAATGAACGGCACAGTGGTAGATATCTCAACTTATAGTCCCTTGAAAAAACAGCAACAATTTTTTCTCTGCTAACGATGCTTGGAAATCTTAACTGCAACATTCATAAAATAATATTGATTTCTCAAACTGACAACACTGCACTTGATGTTCCGCTACTCAATTTTATGCGGCTAAAGTGAATGTTTTGAAGTCCAACAATCAGCCATACATCTGCAGAACTGATGAAAGAATTTACGGCGACCAAAAGAATTATGTCGAAATAATTTCAAAATAAATATGTAACGCTACTTGAACTGCCACCGACAAGTAAAAAAGTAATCGTTGTGCGGATGTAATATTCTATCTCAAACTTGTACAATAATATTCCAAACTTTATTAGTCAAGAAATTGACAATATCTAATGCCCATAAGCGCAATTTCCTCTCACGACGGCATTACGAAAATACGCTCGCTCGTGTCATGCGATTCTGTCACCTTTTCACTGTGCCCTTCGTGAAAGTGTCACAGTAATTAGTGGTGAGGTAAAGTATGGATGATGTTAAAGTACTGTGTCAACCTGTAAATGCTCTTCTCAGCAGAATGAAAAAAACGCAGCTGAAAACTGCGACAACAATAACAAAAAGCTGCAAGAGAAGAGAAACGCTTGCAACGGCAACTGATGACAACTCATTTAGCCCTTCCAAGAGGACGAAGATCACTGCGATAAATACAGGACGACAACGAAGCAAAATCTCCTTTTTCAATCCAAGCGAGAAATTTCTGTGCATATCACATGTAGAAATAAAAAAAGGTGACGATATGATGACAAATTACTTTGCAATGCACCTGCTACCAATAATAATTATTGCCGGTATCATTAAAAGCGGCGTTAAGTGTTAATGCCCCTCCTCCCCATCATTTTTCATAGATTTCATGGATTTTTATCTTTTCTTCATAATTCATAGAGATCAATCCATCAAAATTATGATAACCGATTTTCCTACTGTACTAAATAAAAAACCTCATGCTGGAAAATTTCCTTGCTTCCTTCTTCATATGCAATTGTCTTCCTTCAAGAAAGAAATTTAAATAATTCGCATTGTGAGAGACATTAAAACTTCATTATATCTACATTTACCTCTCTTAAAATACTTGAAAAACGGCTCAAAAAAGAGATTCGATTTCAGTGCCTTAATTCACATCACAAAACCCTGAAAATATCACATCATTTTTCTTCGTTAAACAAGACTGTTACAACATAAGAACATGAATATATTCCAACTACTTAGAAATATCACCCGGTAATTTTGGAAAATTTCATCAAGTCGCTGCAGTAAGCCTTCAATATTTATATCAAAAAATCACTAGGGCACTCCTCCAACTTCATTCACAGCACAAAACATACGTCCCAGTAAATTCTAAGTCACTGGTCCGCTGCGTCAACTATTCTTCAAGACCACTTCAAATTTCTGATAGATTGTTAGCAACAAAATGTCTCTTCAGAATTTTAGCAAAGAGATCGTATATTCCCTATCGATTCTTCAGCTTTCGTTTCACTCTTTAATTTCTTCACGTGACCCTAATTCTCTTGGGGAAAAACGAAGAATGAAGGGTTGCGCATTCAACGGATATAAAATACAACAAATGAATCTGCACTTGTTCTTTTTACAGTTTTCTATGGATATCAAGTTTCAAGCTCATTTCACCAACGGTATAGACGAAATGATGACGTAAGAAAGAGACGAAAGGGAACCAAGCAAATAAGTCGACATGTATATGAAGCATGCCATACGCGCTTGCTAGCGATTTTGTTGCAAAATCAATAAAACTTGTACTCTTACTCTAACTCGATATTGGCCACAGATTGAGGATTGAGAATGAAGATGCTGCTGATGAACACAATAACTGCAGGCCCCAAACACACCAAATCAGGTCGTCTATACCTATTTGTCGACTTCATTTAACTTTCTTATAAAAAATCAAGAAAAAAATCTCCACTAAATATAAAGTATTCGATCTGCACCAAAAACTGATAAACGATTTCTTTTTTTCTTGATTTTTTTGTAATAAAGTTATACAAAAACATTTCCCCACTATTCACATATACCATACTTAATTAGTAAAAAAGTTTTCACAAATATTGAAACACGACAAAACGATGCTATTCACCACCTGTAACAAACCAATCGAATGGATTGAAGATTGGATCTGACAGCATCAGCTTAATAAAAGCACTTTCAAAATCAACCTACATGGAACGTTCATTTCGTTTCAGCAACAGAATTCGAAATTGAAACGCCTCCACAAAGCACTAAAAAATAAAATGGAGTGTGAATACACTTTGGAAGTAAGTTCAACCGAAATACCGGCTGCAAATTAAGAATGCAAATGAAGGATGCGAAAGAATGAAACGGTGGGGACAACAGTTCGGATGAGGGAATGGAGAATATGAGGATAAATATGAAAAAGAAAATGAAGAATAATGATATGAAATATAGTTCTAAAGGTTAATCTTGCGCACAGGGAGATGTTGAACTTCAGGAAAACCAGGACGGCAGTGACGATAGCCGTTGTCCGATATGCTGACAACCAGCTAACCACACTGCCACCCGGTAAGTCCCCGTTCTATATTTGGAGATTTTTGATTCCTTATCTCATTTTTGTGTTGGTAGAAGAATGCTGAAAATCAGAATAATTCTGAAAGCATTGACGATTAAATCAGCATGGATGCTATAACCATGATCACGAGGTAAGCCAGGATAAGAAGGATAAGCAGTGAGGAAGTGGAAAATGCAACGGAAGGTGAAGTTGATGAAACTGAAGCTAAGAGAAGCAGCAACTATTAAGCAAATGGTCGCAGAAGAAGCGGGAACGGGAACAGGAGCGGGGTACATATATATCTACAAAGATGGCAGCATAATGATGATGATGATGATGATGATGTTTGGCATGAAGGAGAGAGTGTGGCCCCTCGACAACGAGTGGTGCTCCAGGAGTGAAGTGTTTGTGGTATGCTGCGGTAAGAGAGAGAAACTCATGTGAAGAGATGGAACAGAAAACTTAACAAGCACCACCCATCTATCCCTACCCTATCTATGACATGACAGCCAGGAAAAATGGAAAACAACGTTTTTTGGTAAAACTCCAAAAAAAAGCGGAAAAAATTGCGAAGGAAATGAAGTGATTAGAAGAAATAACCGGCAGCCATTCAATAACCGCACCATCACTTCAAGGTCATTATTTGTTGCCTTGTTACTGATGAATTGTAGTGGCGTGGCATCGATTCCCTCTGTGGTATTTCCTGGAACGGAAAGTTACTTCGATGAAATTGTTCCCTTTAATGCAAAGTTATTATTTTTTTCAATGCCAATGTTATCTTTCCTACTGGATAAGCAAGCTTGCAATAAGTAAAAATGTGTGGCAAGAACAATTAAAAGCACATGAAAAGGTCATGAAATAACTGCAGCACTGATGTTATTTCATGGGATGGGAATTGGATAGATTTTCTAAGTAAACTTTGCTTCCAACCGTTTATGCAACACCGTTACATCGTAAAATCTCATCATCCACTGCTAACACCATCTCAGTTACGTTTCTCTTCATCAGCTGATTTTCCACCAACACAGTTTGCTGCTCGAAATTCATTCTCATCATGAGATGAAGTCAACATGAAAGTGTACGATGAGAAATCAATGAAATTGGATATGTCCTGATTTTCTTTGAACTCAAACTCCCGCATATAATCTCGGCGTAGATGATGTAACACCGTTCAGTCGGTCTGCATACCAGACAGGTGCATTTACAATCTATGAAACGACAGGCTGCGCACGGATCAACACACGGCATGTGAATTATACCGTGGTGATATGTGGAGCAAACTGGCGATACCCATGTGAATGGCGCCTCTGGCATGCAGACTGTCATCGGTATTCATTCGGTTTTCCGTATACAAAGTGATTCTCCACCTCATCAAACATGTTAGATTATGCTGCTTATATCGTTCAACCAACACGATTCAACAGCTATCAGTTGCATCGATGAACGCATTTTTCCAGTTAGTCGAAATGCTTTAGCAAAATAAAATTACAGATCATTGCAGCTTTTTTCAAATACCGTATCTGAAAAATGTTTTCGTTGATAACGAACTAGAAGGAAGCCAAAAATAACAGATTTCATCATTCAACCGATAAGCGTTATTACCACATCATAAGCTAATATGTTGAAATCTGGAAAATGTTACGATAATTTCAAAGGAAAAAACATCGATAAGTGATACAGTTTACTTCCAAGTTTGCTTATGCACAATTATATGGTACTTCCAATTTTTTCAACGGAGGATCTTTTCCGGTCTTTGCAGTCTTTCATAAAATATTCGTGTACACAAAAGATGATAGGCGTGAAATTTAATCATGCAAGGCTAAAGATCAAAGTGTGGACTCTTTTGCCCATGTTACGCTGGATATAAA